TCTGCTCCCAGTTTGGCATTCATGTCACCCATTAGAATTTTGATGTCGCCAACTGGAGTCTTGTCTGGTACTGATTGTAGTTGTCTATAGAATTCCTAATTCTTCTCTTCATCCGCATTATTTGTTGGCGCGTAGCATTGAATGATTGTGACTTGCCTCCCTTTTGAGTTAAATCTTACCGTCATAATCCTGATGCTGGAGGAGATTGGTTCCCACTACATGAGGTCCCTCGATGTTCTTGGAAACATCATGATAGCCACTCCCTCCGTGTGCTCGTGGTTGTCGTCTGGGTGACCGGAGTAGATTTTTGACTCTACAGTTGAGTTTGGATAGTATACTTCCATTCCATCTGCTTTCGCAGATTCCAATCACTTCAGTGCCATACCTCCTCATCTCTTTTGCAATCTGGGCAGCTTTGGTAGGTTCATACATGGTGCGGACATTCCATGTTTCTATGCTAACTTTCGCTTTCATCGAGAGAAGAGAAGACACATCGGCCGACTGGCTTCCTGAAGGCTTTCACCAACCGGTGTCATTTCGTCTCTCCGATTCCAGCGAGGAATATGTTTGTTTTTTGCTTTATGTTTTTCTGTGCTTTGAAGTTTCTTCAGTGATCGGATTGGTTTTACGGCGTAGGGCTGCTAGCCCTACACCCAACCTTCCCTCTTTACCCGGGCTTACGACCGGCTAGTAACTAGTGAACTAGTTAACCAGGCGAAATGCCAGTGTCTAATTGCCTCTCCGATAGTTGTTGATAAATTGTTACGTAGCGACAAGAAGGCAGCCAATAGGGGAGTTTTCAAGTCGTGATCAGATCATGTTCAGGTCATGATTTATGCATGTGCTGACATGAGGACCTGATTGGAGAAATTCGACCTCACACAAGAAATCCGATCGGTTCATTTATGGCTTCACTTTCTGAGAGTTTTGTAACTACATATATATCATGTATTTGCCTAATAAAAGTTGCTGTTGCTGTTCTTGCAGTCACAGGCCGTGTTTGTCTTCTGATTTTTCCGCGGCTCTGTGAGGCAGAAGGTACTGAGGGAGGTCAGTCGTAAAGGTATTCGGTTGAGGTGTCTACTGAGTCTCAGTATTCATTATACCCAGGCGCGCAACCCCACCATTCGGTCACAATATAAATATAATCGATGATTTCTACTAGAAGGACGTTAGGAAACTAGGATGCGGCATCTAGGGATCTCATGGATTTGTTGTTTATTTTGTCTACAAACTAAAAGGTGTCTTTTACGCTATATTTTTCTAACTGGTTACGCGAAGGTTGAAGTAATCGTACTAGCCATTCAGGGATAGGCAAGTTGGTCATGTCTAGGATAGGCTGAAGAGGCACCTTAGGTTTGCGTATTTTTGGTAGACCATAGAGATCTGTGGATTCGAACAGCATTACGTTCATTCCTGTAAGTCATTCACTTCCGTTGTGAAGAACTTAATATAGCCTTTCACACAAGCCCTTTGCGAATATGATTTATGATTACTTCTCATGGCTTCTTCTTATAAAGAAAGATTGGAAATAGCAAGTTTAAGAGTAAATTAAGCATCGACTAGCTGAAAAAAATGTAAGACCTGTTTAAAACTATACAGGTTTAAGACGCTGAAAGAAAATCAGTAAGGGGAGTCAAATGAATAGGAACGATAAGACTAACAGTGACGAGAGAATTAGTAAACAGGAGACATTAAACAAAAATAAAGGGAAAAAAACCATTTTACTGCTGAGACGAAATAACTCTTAACAAACGTTAACAAAACATTATAAGAATTCTTCGAAGGATTCAAAATTCCTAATGGTGTAAAATACGTATGGTAAGTTATTTATACCTTCATTAATTTGAAACTAGTGTGGAGATCGACTGCACTCGGCATAAAGCGTGAACAAGATCCGGATTGTCAACACTAATTCAGTCAAGTCAATGCTTCTATGTTATGGTTCGGAAACTTGGCGCGTCACGGAAAGCATTTCCAACAAACTACACACATACATCATCAACAGCTGCCACCTACACTCACTGGGCACTGAAGATCAGATAGATGGCCAGAATAATAAGAATAGGCAACAAGGAAGTTTGACCTGACAACGAACGAACCAACAAAGCAAGAACCTATCAGCCAACAACTATGTAGAAGAAAGTGGAGATGGATTTGATTGGGGATAGACTGAGAAGGCCGACTGGGAGGGGGGGGAGAGGTGGGGGACATCGCGCGTCAGGCCAGACCAGGTTGTTGAGTGGAATGCAATGGGGAGACGACGAGTTGGTCGTCTGAGGTGAGGTTGACATGGAGGAGATTATGTGAGTAAGAAATGAAAGCTTGTAGGCAGATGTGGAGCCGGGTGGAAATAAAAGACTGTAGAGAAGAGAGTGAAATGGAGACGTGCTACTGAAGCGCAATGTTGCACTAGGAATCCAAGGGGCAAATAATAATAAGAGTAATAAATCCTTTGTAGTGTAATGAGATATGCACAAGACTAACATAATCCAGATTTTCACGAAGCAAGAGAGTAGATACACTCACCGAACCACTGCAGCTAACTCGAAACAAAATCACCGAAAGCTTTCAAGTATCATTTTCAATTGTTTAGCGGATCTATAAAGCCCAGACTGAAAGTGAGAGGCTTCATCGACTAGTACTACACCATGATCTAATCACCCTTAATTTTTTTTCTACTAAATCCTACTTTAGCTAATATTGCTCACCGATGACAAACGAATACATTTCAATCATTAAGCTGGAGGCCTGCTGAGGAAAAATTTTCACCGAATTTATATCATCAAATTCATACCTTTTAATTTGTTTTTATCTTATAAATATATCTTTGAAACGCATCAAATACTTTTTTGCACTTTTAAAATGACTTCAAATTGTCACTTTTCAAGCTAACAGCAAAACAAAGAATAAAGAATACATCGGTAACACTGGCATAGTCTACACTTTAACCGCGATACTTAGCATTGATTCATTGGGATAGAGCACAGTTTTAGAGAGAAGACTAGGCTCTAAAAAGTAGAAGGTGAGACCAATCACCTTCATTAGAACACATCTGAAAACGTGAAACAGTAACAGTGAAACGAAACATGTGTAGTGGATACCACTGTTTGTCATTTCTTCCAAGTAGATGGTCTTTAGTAATTTAATATACTTTTCTCGTAACCCCCCCCTCTCCTCCAACCCCTTCCGATTCGAAAACTATCATAAGACTTCTCTAAGACAGAGATGACAACTAATTTCAAATCAATAGCTGATAATACTTCATTGGTTGAAAAAATCAACTTCGGCAGACGGAAAAGGACATGAACCTACAATCCATTCATTGAAATTGAGTGCTTAAACCAATTATCTCCAGCTTCTAAGTCCACTTAATGGGATCAACTGGATGAGTTGTGTGGTATAACTCGAAAATATACTTTCTTCACTTACATGGCAATAGATTCGATTGACAGAAAAATTGTTCTGCAGTCTATAACGGACAAACTTCTGAATATTGCTAACAAATTCTTGGTAGATTTTACGTGATAAATGAAATTTATGAATAGGAATATACAAAGAGGAATATGACCATAACAGCCAAGTTAGAACCTATTTTCTAAACAGTTACTATGAAAAGGATCATTATTGCATCAATAAGATGAATCGTTAGTTGACGCATCACAAATTTAGGTTGGATAGAAAACTCACTTTAATCAAAGAATCGATCTAGGAACTTCTGAATTCAATCTTTAAGGTATTGTGTGCTAAAAGCTAGAAATCTCAAATATTGAAAAGATTTCAGTCTCAAACTAATATTGTTTTACTCAACTTCTAACTCCTCCTTAACCTATACAACAAATAGTCATAGACATGAAACAGTTTATAATGTACAAAGAATAATCAACCCATTACGCTACAATCAAATCATGCATAGACATATGTGTTAGGGATGACTAGTCCCTAACACAAACTAACTTATAATGTATTTTTGAGACGAATGGGGATTTTTAATTTAGAAGTAGTATTCATCATGGACTGACATCAGTTGGGGAACCATTGAAAGTCTGGGAGCACTGGGCAGCTGTTTCGTACTAGCTTGGGACTCCTCAGCAGTACGCACCCACGACCCGGCCAGGGGTCGAACTCGGGACCTCCAGGTTTCACGGCGAACGCGTTTACCATTCAGCCACTGGATCGGTTTCCAGTGGTTTACAATTTCCAACTTCTGTCAATTCACGACATAACGCGACTGTCGCCCAAAGTCTTCAGTTAGCACCCACTTCACTTCCGACTGGTTGACCCCACAGGTCACGGCTTCTCATTAGAACTTCCTGACATCCATCTGGAAGCAAGTCACTAATGAGCGCTATAGAGTAATGTATTTTTGAGATGAATGGGGATTTCTAATTTAGAAGTAGTATTCATCATGGACTGACATCAATTGTGAACCACTGGAAACCGACCCAGTGGCTGAATGGTTAACGCGTTCGCCGTGAAACCTGAAGGTCCCGAGTTCGACCCCTAGCCGGGTCGTGGGTGCGTACTGCTGAGGAGTCCCATGCTAGGACGAAACAGCTGTCCAGTGCTCCCAGACTTTCAATGGTTCCCCAACTGATGTCAGTCCATGATGAATACTACTTCTAACTTATAATGTGTTTGTATTAACATTGTGAAACTGAAACCTTGCTTTAGTGCCTTTTTCGGGCCATACTACGTTACTTATCTTTACTATACTTTAAGATACTAAACGCTGACTGGTCCATTTTACACTTTTAATATGCTATTTTGTTTTCTTTTGCCAAGACTATCTAAGGGCATATAAACGAATGAGTTTTCAGCTATTATTATCCGGTTGAAGTAAATATACTTTCAATCACATCGTCTTTTTCTAGTCCCAGCTGAATATCGAGTTGAGAAGTCATTGTTCAATCGTTAATGGTATCACATCGAAGCATTGTATCGTCTTACATACCGTGGATCATAACAGTATGAATATGCAGATAAGCATAGATACTTACTTCATAATATTCTTTCTCAACATCACTAATAAGTGATGTAATACGTACTCGTTGGATATATTCACTCCAGTAACGTCGTAGTTCAGCACGAGCTTCAGTTAATCGGATAAATATTCGATCAAATGATATCATATGAAAGACATAATCAACTGGTAAGTCATATGCATCACTTGTATTGGCCCATGCTGATGAATCATTGGACTTCACTTTAATATCATTCATCATCTCTCCTTCTTGTCGATATGTATATGATTGACTAGATTGTTTCAATAGTAAACATTCACGTATCTTTAACCCTTGAGTTTCACAATCAGTAACACAATGTAACCAATGATGACGTTGTTTACGCAATTCATGCATTTTTCATGACTATAAAATTGGTTGAATTCAAACGTTTTTAAGATTGATGATAAGTCTGAAGATGAATTGAAACAGTGATCATGTTGTTTCAGTAGTCTCTGATCCTGTTGATAATCTTTATCATAATATTGATTCACCATACTTTTCAATTCAGTACACAATGTTTCAACTTCTTCAAAGTATTCTTCAATATGCTTCAATTTGAGAGAATGTGAAGAAGATAACATTTTTATTTAAATAATACACTTGAATACACAAACGATATTATTTTCCGCACAAAGAAAAAATGTATTTAAATGTATAACACCAGATTAGATAGCAAGAGTATGAAAAGCCAGAACACAAAACTAGGCGTTTAATTTCTTCAGCCTTCAGTGTTATCTAGCATAAGCGGCCAGTTAGACTAATTATTGCTGCATACTTTATTTTTACCATTATTATCCAATACTAGTCAACATGATAGCTACACATATATAAGATAGCATTAGTCAATGTATAGAAAAAATATACAACCAAACAAACAACAACAAACGAATAGCAAAACACAGCAACATATGAATAATCTGCATACAAAATGAGACGAGCATTTCTAGTTTTCTTCTTCTTATTTTGTTGTACTTCGGCTTAGTTCATACACAATAAATCAAAAAAGAATCAGTTCATGGTTAAACTAGCCAATCACAAGCGTGCTTAAACTTATCACAATCAACAAATATTATTGGTTAATTAGTATAATTATCTCGATGACTAATTAGTATCAGTCGAGTAAGGACGCATATGTTTATGTGTTATCTTAATGTTATGAAAGTATTATGCATCAAAAGATTTATTAAGGATTAACTATGCATGCATGAATTCACAAAGGAAGAAAATTTGTGAAAGACAAAATGAGCAGGTGGATGGATGAATATACATTTACAACACATACTTTTGGAAATGTAATACACGAATCTTTTCGAGTTATATAATACAAGATATTTCGTCGAACCTAGCGAAAAATGTACATGTAAGATAGATATGATACGCATAAACTGTAATCTTGAAAATATACTGAATTATGAAGTGAAAATAAACCGCCAAGAAGATTTATTTCAAAGGAATTTATAAAAATCATCTAAATTAAGGATAATTTCAGAGTAGTTAACACCAGTTACCTCACAAGTCGAAATTAATAATTTTACTCTTTATGAATTAATCACATCAATCAATCCATAATATTGTATATACTGACCCTTTGTGTATATATGTGTGGGTTTGATGCATAGAAACCGGTTGGATCCATATGCCATAACTTATAAGAAACTGAAAGGTATGCATCAATTCATGTACCATCTTTAACAGAAAGCTCTGTAGTATACGCTAAGTTAATATTTACTTCAGTATATTTGATAACACTGAATACAATTGATCAGTATGTCAATATGAGAATAGTTGATATCAATTTCTTTTAATTTATTTCTAATCGATATATTCAACTCAACGAAAACCTCTTCCATAATAAATCAACTGATCACAGTCGATTTTTTTTCTTACGAAAATATTGAAGTACAGTTGAACTATAGAAACTTTCTATGGTATTCAAAAAACTTGAATACCCAAAAAAAGTTCATTTAGTATATGTGCAACTAACAATGGTGAATTTAATCATAAGTTGGTAATTAAAACAATACGATCAAAAAAATTAAACAGTATTCAAACAGTAAAATTTCTTTCCTTTTATTATTATTTGCCCTTTGGATTCCTAGTGGAACTTAGGGCTCCAGTAACACATCTCCAGTTCACTCTCTTCTCTACAGTCTTTTATTTCCACCCGGCTCCACATCTGCCTACAAGCTTTCATTTCTTACTCACATAATCTCCTCCATGTCAACCTCACCTCAGACGACCAACTCGTCGTCTCCCCATTGCATTCCACTCAACAACCTGGTCTGGCCTGACGCGCGATGTCCCCCACCTCTCCCCCCCCCTCCCAGTCGGCCTTCTCAGTCTATCCCCAATCAAATCCATCTCCACTTTCTTCTACATAGTTGTTGGCTGATAGGTTCTTGCTTTGTTGGTTCGTTCGTTGTCAGGTCAAACTTCCTTGTTGCCTATTCTTATTATTCTGGCCATCTATCTGATCTTCAGTGCCCAGTGAGTGTAGGTGGCAGCTGTTGATGATGTATGTGTGTAGTTTGTTGGAAATGCTTTTCGTGACACGCCAAGTTTCCGAACCATAACATAGAAGCACTGACTTGACTGAATTAGTGTTGACAATCCGGATCTTGTTCATGCTTCATGCTGAGTGGAGTGGAGTGCAGTGGAGTGGATTAGATCTCCACACTGATTATTTCACACTAATACAATAAGGCCTATCTTGTTGTCTCTCCAATCGTGGCTGACTTTGAAGTCTTCATCTGTGCCTGAGTCGCCTGTAGTTGAGACGATGCTGTCTGCCTATGTAGGTGGGTGAGAGAGACAACTCCCTTTAGGTTTTCCCCGTTAATGGTGATTGGTGAGAGTTGTTGGTTGGGTATCTTTATCACCTCTATCTTCTCTACATTCACTTGAAGTCCAGTCTTCGCTGCCCTACCTCTTCTGTCAACTTGTTGGTTTTTTGTCTGTAGATCTTCCAGTTTGTGCGGCAGAAGACATTAGACATAAATCCCCATCGCTGTTGAAATCTAAATCTTCTAGGCTCTTTTCATCGGTGCAGCCAGCGTATGCTCGTCTTCTTGCTCTTCACAGTTTGTTGCATGATCCAGTTGAAAACAATTAGGGAGATGATCGGTGATAGTAGGTGGCAGCCTTGTCTTACTCTTGTCTTCACTTCAAAGGTGTCACTGAGCTCTCCATTGTGAATCACATGGCATGTGGTTGTTTCATAGCTGTTAAGTGAGGTTGATAAAGGTTTGTGGTACTCCGTAGTGTTGAAGCAGCTGCCCACCAAACTACTTCTCGGTCGACGCTGTCGAAGGCATTTTCAAAGTCGATAATGTTGAGGTAGAGAGTTGACTGCCATTCTACGCTCTGTTCTCTTCCTTTTCTCTCTTTCGCAACGCAGAAATAAAATTAAATCTATGAGGAGAAAGATATAATTATCATATTTTTGAGTTCGATCACTCTATTATGTGATCATACCCCGAATGGCTTTTTAAAAAATTATTTCAGAGATCAAGGTGATAAAATCATTCTTTCTTACTGATTCAAATTAACTCACCATCAACTCTGTCACAGAGGAAGCGCATGAAACGATCCTGTAGGAAGTACACTTCTTACCTAAAGATGGTATGCATATAGTACTTCGCTTAGTAACGACAAACATACTGTACACAATACAATTAGTGGATAATTAGCCCTCAAGAGTATAATGCAAGTTTCTCTTCAGCTAAATAGAAAGGAGTTAAAACAATCTGTTGGCACTTTTGCCAACACTCTCATAAACAGTGCTAGAAATAATTGGGAAGCATATGTATATGAACAAAATGACGAGTGCTTATAAAGCTGTAACAGTTGACATCAAACAATGGTCAGGAAAATCTAAAGGCGTAACGCTTTTATTTCATCCCCTACAGTACTATCATGGTATATAAGACTACTAAATGTTGGGCAAACAAGGCTCCTTTGCACTAAGAGTGAAAATGTAAATGCCTTGCACCGATTTCATTCAATATATTTATATCCAACTACACCAATCTTCATAAGATTCCTTTCGAAATGTGAAAACGCCATGAAATCAATAGTGAGACCAACTGAGATACATTCGGGTATGAACCCTTTTTAGTAGGCAGTTAGAATCACCTTAAAGAACAGTTTTCCGTGATTTTAGATAATCATATGCCAGTAACTTTTTCATCAAACAACCTTTTCAAACAGTACGCTTTAGAAGGCAGCAGATTATTTCATCTCAGAAACTTGGTGATTTGTCAGTTTAAGATATCACAAAAGGTTCTAAACTCAGGCTTATGGATAGAATGCTAAATCTCCGGTTTTTATCACTCCACAAGTACAGGTTGCTATAGAAGATCCCTATAAAGAAGTTAGAAAACCCTAATTCGAAGCAAACAGTTCCAAGATCTAGAACAGGTCACCGGTAACCATAAGAGTGAAGTACTTGATGTTGTTGTTATTTTTAAACCTTACGTAACAGGCTTGAAAAGTAACCCTTTAGGACAACAACTGGCTTGGTTTGGGCATCAAGGTTGTTAAGGATATCTAATCCAATGACAACTTGAACTGATGCACTTGTTCGGGAGGTTCCACATTAATTTTGTGTATCCATCTGTCATCCTAGATAAATAAATGTAGAGCGCATTTCTTGATGCCCATGTTGCATCAAGCCTGCGCTTACGCAATAATAATAATAATAGTACTAATCGTAACAATAATAATGGTAATGACAACAATAGTTTGCCAGCTAAATGAGAAGTAAAATAAGAAAGAAAAAAGCTATCTCTATGGTAGTTTTTGCTTTTCAAAACATTGATAGTATGAACTACTTCTTGATAACAACGATAATTTATTTCACACAGAGATTGACATAAATCATACGTATATATTACAAAATAATTATTTTGTGTGATGCAACCATTGAAGCTCTATATGTGCCAAGTATTAACCATCAATTATTCTTATTAATAACAATGCACAGTATATGATTTAAGTAGATGGTTCTGGTATTGCAAGTTCCGTCATCCCCAAAAAAAGAAAATTGCAGTTTTTAAGAAATGCCTTAGACCCTTTGGAAATAAGGTCAATAGGATGGATGTCTTTAAACAGGAACTTTAAGAACTATATGACACCTAATCTTTAAAACTTTAAAATAAATTCGCCAAGAATGTTACTAGTACATATATTGTAACTAGTCATAAAATCTATTTACATTCTAATGCCATATATGAGAGTGAATTTTTTTTGAATAACTAAATTCACAAATTTTCATTGCCACTGCCTTCAGAAATCACTCGCTGGCTGGGATCTACAGCGACTTACTAAAAAATGTTATCAACTGGGAGGAAGAACTTTGCACTCAAAGAAATCAATCGACATTAAGTGACAATTAAGTATGAATCCCTGAATATCTAACATATACCTTCATTTTAGCGTGAAATTCTAATCTTCGATAAGCCTACTCGTTAGTCTTCTTAAGCAGCGTGAACGACTTATATCAGATGGTACATTCGAATTCTATCACATCTGAAATTTTCGCAACTGAGTAGCGGTATCATCATCATCATCAAGAGTAACATAAAACCAGGCATTACTGCGTAACGGTCCAAGTTGCCACATCAAGTAACAAGGTAATAAAATGGAATATGAAGAAAGAAAGAAAGACCGATCAAAGAAAGTAGTAGAAGAGAAGAAGGGAGAATGAGATGATGAGATTAAGTATAACTGTTAACATGAGGATAATGTATGCATCTGTGCCACTGACATAGATTCTGAGCCATATCATCTAGGGT